AGCTTAGACAGAGGAACCCAAGGCCCCCACGCAGCATGCCCTCGGGGGTCCTCGCCCCACTCCCCGGGGGTCATGCCCCTCTCCCCCGGCCCTCGGGGGTCCTGCCCCGCTCCCCCGGCCCTCGGGGGTCCTGCCCCGCTCCCCGGCCCTCAGGGGTCCTGCCCCTCTCCCCCGGCCCTCGGGGGTCCTGCCCCGCTCCCCCGGCCCTCGGGGGTCCTGCCCCGCTCCCCTGGCCCTCGGGGGTCCTGCCCCTCTTCCCCAGCTTTGGAGGTCCTCACCCCACTCCCCCAGCCCTCAGGGGTCCTGCCCCACTCCCCGGCCCTCGGAGGTCCTCACCCCACTCCCCCGGCCCTCGGGGTCCCACCTGCAGGCTTCTGAACAGGTTGTTCCTTCCACTCAGAAGGCCCTTCTTCCCACTCTCCATCTGTCCGACGCCCACTTGTCCTCCCTCAAGGGAAAGCACCAGTGTGGCCAGTCTGGCAGGTCCCCGCACCCTGGGCTCCCCAGCACTGGCCTGGTCACCTTGAGCAGCGCACACAGCGACTGTGACTGCCTCTGTGCCCCCCCCACCCCCAGGAGCCAGGCCCAGCACTAGCACCTAGCCTCACCAGCCCTCCACTCAGGAACAGGGTCAGTCTCCAAGGACCCCCAGATCTGGGCTTGTGACCAGGGCCAGGACGGCTGGAGAGGCCAGCAGTCAGCACCATGGGAACGTGTTCTCGGGTCAGGGTGACAGGAGGGGCCAGTGAATCCAGGCAGGAAGGACACTGGCCCCAGGGACAGGAGGTAAGCAAAGGGGGCGATGGCTATCGGTTTGGGGAGGTGATTGGAGGTGAGGGGTCGAGGAGGAAGAGATGAGGCATGAGGCACCTGGGGGTGGCCAGCTGGGGGACTAGAGCCGAGGAAAGGGGTGTGTGTGTGTGTGTGTGCGCGTGCACCTGTCTGTCTGAGGGCACAGGCAGCAGTGTGCAAGGTGTGGACGGTGGGGAGGAGTCTTGACAGAGTGGACATGGTTCCCTGGGGGAATGACACTGGGCACAAGCACCCTGGGTAGAGGGCTGGTCAGGGGCAGCAGAAGGGGTAGCGACTCAGGGGAAGATGGGGAAGGATAAGGTCATGATCTGGGGTGGCAGGAGGGGTGGGGGTCAGGGGAAGAGGGGGGGACGAGGCCATGGTCAGGGCAACAGGTGGGGGGGACAGGTCATAGAGAAACGGGGGACAAGGCCATGGTCAGGGCAGCAGGAGGGGTTATAGGTCATGGAGAGACGGAGGGGGGACGAGACCATGGTCAGGGGTCGCAGGAGAGGTGGGGGGTCAGGAGGAGATGAGGCCATGGACAGGGCAGCAGGTGGGGTAGGGGGTCATGGAGAGATGGAGTGGGGACGAGGCCACGGTCAGGGGCAGCAGGAGGGGTGACAGGTCATGGGGGAAATGAGGCCATGGTCACGGGCAG